TGTGTGTGTGTGTGTGTGTGTGTGTGTGTGTGTGTGTGTGTGTGTGCCAGGGTGAGACATGTTTGCATCATAGTGCAAACGTGAGTGTGTGTTTGTGATTGCTAATGGACAGTACAGTTAGGGTGTGTAGGTGGGTGAATGCATGATGCATGAAGTTCTTACCAGCACAGTTGTTCATCTCTGACTTGAAACTGGTTTCATGTGTTCACATCCAGTAGAAAGTCTTATTTTGTGTGTGTGTGTGAGTGAACATGTTGTTCCCCCTAGCAGTATTAATGTCATTCTATCTTCAAACAAAGAATGAAATAATGCAGATTATTATTATATGGTTATGTTTTGCATAATCAGGTAGTGATGTTTTCAGCCAATATAAAGTGATTACCCAGTTTGGTATAAAATTTGCTTTTAATGGTCGTCCTTCATCCAGAGGATCGACGGTTCGATCCCCGGCTCCACTAGGCCATGTCCATGTGTCCATGTGTCCATGTGTCCTTGTGTCCATGTGTCCTTGTGTCCTTGTGTCCTTGTGTCCATGTGTCCATGCGTCCATGTGTCCATGCGTCCTTGTGTCCATGTGTCCATGCGTCCTTGTGTCCATGTGTCCTTGTGTCCTTGTGTCCATGTGTCCTTGTGTGCTTGTGTCCATGTGTCCATGTGTCCTTGTGTCCTTGTGTCCTTGGGTAAGACACTCAACCAGCCAGTAAGAGTTGACTCTCCTCTGTGGCCGTGGTGTAATTACAATCACAGACATTCATTCTGTAAGGAAGGAAGCCGGTGTCTGTTCTGATTGTTTGTGAGGTAAAATATCAAGATTTTGAGTTTAATTGTGAAAAATAATGTTTTAATAATGAAAAATATACTTTACCCAATAAAGGACAGGAGGCTACAGCTGTTATTTCAATGCATCAGATACATTTAATCATCATTGAATGTCTCCTGCTGCTTATCTTATCTTCAGGTTGGACAGTTACAGGTTGTGGTTATTAGTTAGAACAACTAAAAGTGTCATGTTTTCAGCTAGTATAAGGGGATCACTGACTTATTTATAACTTTAGTTACTTGCACATGTTTAAACCTGAACCTGACTGTGTGTTATGTGGAGCAGAAGACTGAGACTACACCTCTATCTATCCTCTCAGCACATGATGACTGAGCATGTTGCTTATGTTGGTTGATGAGCTGAGAATGTGTTGTCAGTGGATTTATCTCACTGGTCAAGAAACACCAGCAGTCAGACAATCAGACAGGTTTTATATATTTACAGTATATATCATCCATCCAGGATCGAGTTATTAATGAAATGATAGAGCTAAAACTAGTAGATCAAATATTGCAAGATGTAATAAGCATCTCAAGTGCTGGTGCTGTGTTGGGGGGTTATCAGATCAAGCTCTAAACACAACATTGGATCACTCTCCTCTGTGCAGCATCTAAAACAGAAAGAACGAAGCTGAAGCAGCAGTGATGGTGAGATGGTGTCTGCAGAAGGTTTGACCTCCAACATGTAAATCTGCAGCATTAGACACATTCACAGAGCACTCTGCCGTTTATTATTCACATCAGACGTTTGCTTTTGGTCTTCTAAGACATGAAAATCAATAGACGTTCAACAGGAGGAGGTCTGGCAGCTGTTTAATATTCAGTTGTGTGGAGCTGTCTGTAACTCTGATGTGTGTCACTGTGGTGCAACGGATCGGATCATCTTTAGATCAGCAAAGAAAAGGGGAGGAGACAAATATAACTTTGCTTTCCATTTATTAATTAAAGAACTTCAAGAACACTTAAAGCAAAGAACTTTGGGCTATAGTCTGACATAACAACTAAAGATGATACTTGTTGTGGTGGTGTCTTGGAACCGCAGCAGTAAAACGTTATTACACATTATGATGATTAAACTGTAAGAAGAAGAAGAGGGCGCTGTAGTGTGGACGCAAGGCGTGAACCAACAATGATGATGTAGCCTGAAGCACTGTGGCGACACATATTTTTTTCATATTGTTTACTGTAAGTTTCTATTTCATATTTATGATTCTTGTTTTTCAATATGCTCTAAAATACTGATTGTAATGATGAGGTTATCTAATGCTGAACAATCTATGAACAGGCAGACTCATCACTCTGTGGTTGATTTGAACTGACTTGCTATCTTTAAATATCAAAAGAACACCTCCTCTCCAGCCTAAATGTGATTTATGAATGGCAGTGTTGGGAGCCTGCTGTGTGTCCAGCTGAGAGGCTCGTTGATCTCTGAGCTGCTGACAGTATTTTCCTACAGCAGGAATAAAAAAGGATTATATGTTCAGGACCGCAGAGGAAGCCCTTTTTGTTTGAATTCACACGGTACTTTGTGATATTGATCAGATATAATTGTGAGCTCATGATCCAGTGAGGAGGTGTGTGTATTAGCACAGAGGGTGCAGTAGTCAGTAAACATGCTCAAATCTGTGCGTCTTCATAGTGATTTATATGCACACTAAGGAAGCGTCTGCAAACAGTGCAGGATGTGAACTACTCTATGGAGAGGGTTCTGCAGTGGCATCCTGTAGATACCGCATGGATACCAGACGGCTTCATTCACACTCCCTCCCTGATGTAATGAATGGATCTGTGACAGCAGGCAAACTCAATCTACTCCACAGTGAGATCCATGAGCAGGAGATGGGACCTGACGAGGAGTCTCACGTAAAGAACTCTGACTGAAGTCCACCTTGCAGCAGGATCACTGCATGAGTACTGGACTTGGATTTAGCCATGTTTTATTGGAAATAATCTGGTCTATTTTGTTCTTTCAGTGGGTGTTGGCCTTTGAGATCTTCATCCCGCTGGTCCTCTTCTTCATCCTCCTGGGTCTGAGGCAGAAGAAGCCAGCGATTCCTGTCAAGGAAGGTAGGCAGACACAGCAGAACACAGACGGATCCTATACATGATATCCACTGTACTCAGTCACAATAAATACACATGTTGATAATATCAACTAAGGGATGGTGTACTGACTTTAACAAATATCCAATTTGATCTTAAAGCCACTGGAGGGCGAACGGGAGAACTTGTTCGGACGCGTTTTCTATGCCACAAACAAATCCCTGTCCAGTGCGCTATCTCTCTCCATCCGTTGATCCATTTATTCCGTTGCACATTGACACCATATCATTAAATCAGCATCGTTCAATCTTACTTGTATCAGTGCATCTTAATTGCTTAGTAACAGAAAACCACAGGATACCACACGACAGGATAAGACAACATGCTGACAAGCCGCGCTGACACGGTCAAAAAGTGTTAGCTTCCCGTCCACACACCTGATGGCACTTACCGATATGCACTTTTAGGTTAATGCGCCACCCTGTGTTCAATGTCAGAACTGCATGTCTAAATTCACCTCGTGTTTCCCTCAAAGATAAAAGAAAACAACAAAACTACACTATGGCTCCAACAGATGCGTTATAAGGGACATTTGCTGAGGATTTGCAGCCCTTTTTAGTTTCTATACAACCAAATTGTGCTTGTCCTCATTTAGGAAAGGACCAAACTGATTTTTACGTCGGTAAAATGGAAGAAAGGCACAAAATGCATGTTTGGTCTCATCTGTTTAGAGCTGTGATATCTTCTTTTTATTGAAATAAATCTCCAACTGATTTTTCAGAACTCATTCAATCAAAACAAAGTGTGTGGACGGGCATGTCTTCATAATAGGCTTAATAAGAGAGAAGGGTCCTCTGACTTTATTGAAGGTTTTAAAGGTATCGATGGAGGGGTGAGATATCATTCTTTGTGGCAAACTATTCCACAATTAAGGACCAACGACTGAAGAGGCTTGATCAGCGTTGGTCTTTAAGGGGCGCCTGGGGGGGAGGACAGTGATAGGTCACTAGGTTTGAGGGGTCAGGAGGTGAAAGAGAGGATGAGCAGTTCAGAGATGTAACCTGGTGACAGTCCAAGCAGTGCTTTATCAATACAATCATTTTAAAATCAATTCTGTAATTCACTGGTAAAGTTAAGGATCCAAGTACTCATAATGAACCTGTTTTACAAACACAATGTGTAGATATGAACACTTTTCTATATAGAAAAACAAATTAGTACAACGAGGATATATAGAGCAGCTGTGGACATCAGATACTGTAAGAATCAGCTGTTTTAAATCATAGATCAATGCTGACTGATGAGTATGTGACAAATAAAAACTTCAAACTTGAAGTAGTCTCTTTAATGCACCATTTATTTCATTATTGCCGTACATGTGTTGAAAGTATTTAGTTTGTTGTTGATCACATCATCAGAGTGGCAGCACATAGAAACAGGTTCTGAAACGTTTATTCTCAGACTATCTGCGCTGCCACACAGACAGCAAAGCACATGTCCAGCTCAGGAAAACACCAAACTATCCGGAGTGTTACATGACAAGAAAGTGGAAGAAATGAGTAAATCCATGTTGAATGTGTGCAGCTGTTTGGACGGTTCTGAGGAAGTGAGGGAAGCGAGGGATGAGGAGATGGATGGTAGAGGACTGCACAGTATACAGGCTTCCCTCCGCCTTAACTTGCATTATTTAGTTGTATTAAATACAGAAAGTGAACACTGCTGCTGACTCATGTTTATAGATCTGCCTGTCATAAAGATATTACATATCTTCTGTGCGGTGTTGTCACACATTTGAAACAGGCAAACGCATGTTCTTTGCTGCTGTTACAAACATGTGCTCTGCCTCTCACTGTGCTGTATCCTTTGTGCCATTTATTCAGCTGTTAGTCGTCTGTCACTGTCCTGAGTGTATCTGTGTTCATGATGGAGTTTGTTCTCAGTGCTGTTGCCTGAACACTTTATTTTGATGCTTTTTGTCTGTGTTGCTTTACTTCACCTTTGTCTTGTGTCTGCTGTTCTTTCTTTGTTCCTCTCTTTTCGGCTGTGTTTCTTTCTTTCCTGTCGTGATGCATGTTCTCAACGTGTTGGATGCACCAGTGTGTAAGTTTCATCACCCCGAAGGCTAACTCTACCCTCACACCTGATCCTGGCTGACATGATACATCACTGACATGTTGATCTCTTGGTTAACTTAACCAGGCTGTGTTAATCCTGTTCTGTGCTTGTGTGTTCATGTACACTATATGTTTACCTCACCCTGATCTATATGTATCAAGGGAGGCCATCCTCCAAAACCAGCACACTTCAGTCACTCAGTGGCTCATTAGAAAGAAATCTTAAAGGTCTGTAAGGTCTTCCTTTAAAGTAGTCGATTACCAATGGATAGAATGATGGAATTGATGCCAACCACCACGGGGATGGGGATTGTTTCTGACATTGTTTTATCTCCTTTATCCACCAATTAGATATGAGCGCTCCATAATTATGAAGATTGGATTTGAGTTAATTCACCAGTTTTCCGTCTTTTTGTGTGTTATTCATATGGCGTGCATTCTGCTTTACCCGGGAGTTCACTTTGTTGTCATCCGCCGCCGTGTGCCATGTGCTGACGTAGAACTCACTGAGCTGCACGGGGTTCTGTTCCGGCACTGAACCAGGTACCCAGACCCTGTCCTTGTCTTGATTGGGGATTTTGGCAAGGTGGACCTTAAAAAAGTTCTGCTGAACTTCTACAAACGCATTTCGTGTCGCATCAGGCTTATATTTACAAACCAGAAACCAAACCATGGGTCGATGATCCATCTGCACTGCTGTGAAGGACTGAAACGCAGTGTCCTACCGTTGAGACGTGTCTTCAAACTTGCTAAGCAGACTGAATTCTACTGATCAATATCATTATTATTATTGCACACTAACCTTTGAGCACATCTTCTACCACCCCAGCATTTCACGGGACGTATCCAGTAACATGAGTATGTTTTACATCTTTGAATCTTGAATCATGTTCTACAACAGTGCACCATTCGACACAATGAAAGTGCTCACTGTGTGTATACAGTAAAAGGCTTTTTAAGGCTTCCTCCTTGAGTTTCCATACTTTTTGGGCTCTTAGGGCATACGTGTGTTAGCGATCCTGGAAGCCATTGGTCTGACGACGGTAAGCCTCCAGGGGACAGGGGCTGTATTTCTGGGGTTCCGGTGTAGCTGATATCCGGGCCAAGACTTCCTTTACCTGCGCTTATTGTTTACAGTCCTATTAGCAACTTCATTTCACCAAATCTGCCTCACAGCCAGCTGTTCCTGGCGACTTGCTTCAGTACAAACCATATAAAACGTCTCCGAATTAAACAACAAAATATGTTGCTCCATGAACTCAAGATCAACATATATAAGCTATGTAAGATCTCTCCGTATTCCAAACCCATTAAATATCACAGTTTGATGATTTAACAACGCTGTGGTCTGGTGACACTTTTAGCTTCAGCAACATCACCTGACTTGGCTCCCGTCAGTTATTATGATGCTTGGTGGCTTGTGTTGTTTTCGGGGCGTTTGATAAAACGACTGATGCTTCCGTCACAGATAGCTGAATGGAATGCAGCTCAGCAGCAGTGCACTCTTTAAGTGCTGTTTTAACTTCATACCTGCCTGTTGTTGTTTTGTACCACCTTGTAATTTGCAAAAAATATTTCCTACCAGTGAGTTCCCTTTTCTACAATTCTTTAAGTACTATGAGCCACTGAATGACTAAATGACCTGGGTTACAACGGTATCTGTGTGTTCACATAGTTAATATATACCTCTCCCTGTGAGTTACGTTCTCTCAGCCCTGACACATCTGGTCTTACATTGTTTCTTTTATCATTTTAAACAGCTTCTAACAGGCCTTCACTGTATTGTGTTTCTCTACTACATGTCTCTGTGTGTTGTGACTTTAAATGTGCAGTGTGTGTCTTGTTGTGTAGTTTGTGTGTGTTTGGATGATTTGATGAGTCAGTTGGACATCTTGTGTAATTGACTGAGTCTGTGAAAACAGCTGGCTGACTTTAACAAACTGCTGTTCATTCCATGTAACTCTTCCATACAGCGGCTTGTGTACTCAACGTTGTCTCTCTACAGTTCATGTTTACCTCAGTGATGGATTCTGACTCGTGTTTAACACCTTCTTGCCTTGGTGAAGTCCACAGCATGCTGGTCAGAGAGGACAGATGTCAATGAACTGAATTTATCTACATGTCAACATTTCCCGGTACCTCACAGACCCACCTCCATTATTTAAACCAACTATGAGGTTGTATATTGTTGAATTATCAATTAATAAATGCTTGTGAGGCCGTCTTATTATTATTATTGCGATCCGTCGCCTGTGTGCCTGTGTGTGAGTGAGTGAGTGCACCTCTGCGTCTGTCCACAGCTAATCTCGCATTCTGATGCAGCAAACTGCATCATATTTTGGGTGTGCAGTTATGGATGCATGCCCGAGGACCTGTCGTGGTGACTCACACTTTCTCAAAACACCTTTGAATACCTGTTGAATACCTGCTGACTCCTTAACTCACCAATCTTACGGCCGTTACTGTCTGCTAGTGATAATACAGTAATACTGCCTTGCATGCAGAGGTGCTGGTTAAAGTGCCTAACGAGCTGCCCAGCTGCTACGATAACCAATGCACAAATATTTTTAATCCATTATTTATTTCCTGCTGCAGCGTATCCACGAAACAGGCAACTGAGTCTCTATTTGACTTGCAGCCACGATGCCTTGGCATACTCTGTTGGGGATAATGCCAATGCTACGTGGTACTCTCCGCTGCTGTCAGCCAGAAATACCGTTCGTACAAATCCTTTTCCATGCTGGGTCAGGGGTTGACCGACCCTTTGATATGATTTCCAGTTTTTCTGGAAATGTCCTTCTTGAGAAATCCGTTTCTCCTCCTTCAGCCATTGAGTGTTCAAAAAACACAGCTAGGTAAAAAAAGAATCTACACCAAGCAAAACACAAAATATTTCATAACTTCTCTTACATATGTTTCAACCTGAACTCTTACTAAATACTAAGATCTGCTAGCTAGCTTTCTGTTTGACAAAAGTCACGCTGGCCCACTGACCAATCACGGAGCACGTTAATGCAGACGTACTTAGAGGCTACCTGGGTACCACTGGCACGTCAAAGAATACGCCCAACATGTCAAACTAAAGATCTGATTGGTTGAAGACTATGACAATCAACAATATCGTCCCCATTCACTTAACCTGCAAAGTCTACAGAGGACCTCGGGCCTCTCTCCTTACATAGAGACATAGAGGCTGAATCTGATTGGATAAAAGCTCTCCTTAAAACAAGCTGTGCTGGAAGCAGAGCAACTGAGGAAGACTGTAGCCGTGCAATGATAAAATAAGATAATGGGAAAAATAATGATAATACATGTAGTGTATTTATGAAAAATGATTCAATTATAAAATAGCTATAACTTTGTGATTGTGTTTAGGCCAGCAGAGAAGGGTTAGCACTGGTGTTATATATAGTGTCATTAATTAGCTCTGTACACACCTGATGATCCTCTTCTTCCATTCCTCTGAAAGGCAGGAGGGGATAATAGGGATGGCATGACAAAGAGAGTGTCAGGTTGTTGTGGTTGATTATATACAGTGCCACACACACACACACACACACACACACACACACACACGCTTCAGCAGCACAGTAACGTGGTTACTGTAACCGTGGTTACTGTGCTGCTGGTTGAGCTGAAGTCTCTATTCTTCCTGGTAGAGAGCTGGTCCAGCTTGTCCAGCCAGCACTTAGAGACAGATGAGGAAAAGCATCATGTGCAACAGCATGATGAGAGGCCTGTGTGTTCAGCATTGACATGTGGAGCCTCTCTGGTCATCAGCTGCTGTGCTGCTGCTCCGAGGCGGCTCATCTGACACCTCTTCCTCTCCAACTCTAACACAGTGTCTCTCCCTCTGCTTTGTCATCCTCCTGGTCCTGTCTGGACCTCATACTCCTCGTTTTCTCCATCTGTATCCTCTGTATTTCTTTGCCACATTCTCCTCCTTTGTCCGTGGTTTTGTTCTTCTCTCTGTGTCCCCGTTATTCCTCCCTCATGTCCAGCCTTCTACAGCGCAGCCCCACTCACCTCGGCTGGCATCATTCCCATCATGCAGTCGCTGTGCCCAGATGGACAAAGGGATGAATTTGGTTTCCTGCAGTACAAGAACTCCACGTGAGTAGATTTTATCAGCACTCACCTATCAGTCTCATAACTTGTCTTTTTAGAGCAGTTGTTTGTCTTGAATGATTTGTTTGTTCCTTTTTTCTGTGCAAACACTGAGATCAGGCGGAGGCCATGTTCAGAAAGACTTTGGCTCTGTGTGATAAAAATGTCACCGTCTCATTCATTTGAATGGAGCCAGTCTGTCAGTGCAGCAGTGGAGGCCAACACAAGGGACCCGACATGGTGACAAAACCATGTCTTCATGCAAAAAAGTTGAACCAGGTTCTATTGCAGCAACACAACTTGTCGCCACCAAGCAAAGCACTAACATGCCCAATCAAGTACATACAAGTGCACATTCTTGAACTGCCTATTTCTGCTACTTACATTGTGACGGAAACTGGACACCATTGCATAAGAGGGCGCAATGAGAAGAAGAACGAATATAACATGTTAGTTTTAAAGTTCAAATGTATGAGCATGTGTTTTATTTCCTGTCCAAAGTCCACAAAGGGTCCATTGTCCAAACCGGTAACCACAAAGCTTAATACCAAAACCAACCCGACAACAACGCTCCATCACTTCCTCATCTGATCCTTCATCAAAGAGGCTCACAACTGCTGCTCAGCAGTGACAGTACAACCTTTGTACACCAGGGTACAGCAGCCGTGGGAAATAATGATAAAACAATCAATAAATAGATAAAAGGACAGTGAACGTGCAGATTGCAGAGGCAGAGCACCCTGCATGTTTTCTCTAGGTTTTATTCATTGTGATTGGACCGGCTCAGACTAATGTGTTGGCAGAGGATCGCACATTGACCTCTCCAACATCTTGAATATTCTACACACAGCTGGCACAGCTGGAGAAGGCACCTGGATTCAGGGTAACCAAACAGTACAAACAGGAAAACTGTTCTAACAGATTAGTAACAGTATTTGGAGTGTAGCAGCCAACTAGCAACTCTTAAATGCCATTCTTAATGTCCATGTAGTAAACTGAATGTACCTATATGTCTGTAATGTATACAGTATCTCATTGATCCACACACTGTCACACACTTGATCCCCTGAGCCACAGTGATGCAAGAACCAGTATCGGACTTGGTTTCCTGTTTCCTGGCCGATATTTTGCGAAAGGACTTCTTCATGTTGATCCGATATTTAAGACGTTAATCAAGCTTTTCAAATATTCAGAGGAGCAGAATAGATGTTACCTTTGAATAGAGCCAAGGCTAGCTGGTTCCCCCTATGCTAAGGACTGTTTTAGTCCTGTGTTTTCAGTGTGATCCTATTCGGGATTCAGAGAAGCTTGATGAAAGTGCTATCACTGTCCATCCTCTCAGCTGCCTCACTCTGCTTTCCCTCCCTCATTCCACTGTTTGCTCTATCCTTCTCTCCTTTACGTGACTCTCACCATATCAACAAGAATTAAACATCTTAACACCAGTTAAACATGCACAATAATAAAAGTCATTCTCCAGTCGTTGCTTGCTAATGCCAATGATCTGTAAGTGTACTGTGTCTTGAGAAAAAGGACGAACGATGTCTCTTCTTCAGTGCAGTTTTACAACAGTTTAAAAGCCTAAATCTCTCTCTGTTAGTGTGACCCAGCTGCTGGAGCGGATCAGTGAAGTGGTTGAACAGAACCGCCTCTTCTCGCCTGAGCGGCCTGGTTTGGGTCAAGAGCTCGAGACCCTGCAGCAGCACCTGGAGAGTCTCAGTTCCACCCGTTTACCTCCGGACTACAACTTCAACACCAGTCAAGGTCTGACATGTAGCCATGCTTTAACTAATATTAACAACATGCGTGCATATATACAAGTACAGTCCATTCACCATTGTAAGATGTAAGAGTTCGTCAAGCACTCACATTCCAACGGTAACGTAGAGTAGCCAATGGAAATGTAGGCTGCAACAGAGAAGGGAGGATTGAAAAGACATCAGCAGTCCTGATGTTATGTAGTTTGTGTTCAGAGTATTATGGGATGCTCTGCTGATACAGAATGTTACTGCAAAGAGAGGGCCCATAGTTTAATCAAAACTCAAGAAATGTATCATCCTCTCTCTGTTCAGTGTAAATCACAGAACGCCTCTTCTCCATCAACAGCTGACACCAAAATAACATCTGTGTTTTATCCAAAGCTGCAGGCTGTGTGGGCCACCATTCATCTGGGATCACAAACAATGCATGAAATAAAGATGATCGGGAGCAAAGAAGTAGTACAAATTATTTGGTGTTTTTAAATTGTCACTCCTCTTTGTGTTAAAGAGTTTTTGTTGAAGTGCTCGCTTGGTAAACAAACCTTTGTTCACAAGGGGCTCATGTTATAGAAGTGACGTAGTAGATATACAGGTATATATATATATTATATATATATATCACACTAAACAGGATTCAGAAAGGTAGAAAACAAAGTGTTGCTTGTTGAGGACAACACAAATAATATATACAGTAGGTAAATAACATGTTTGTTTCACACAGATTTAGAAATGTAGAAATGAATTAAAGAATGTCATTGAATGACTTTAAGATTATGGGAAGAATTATTGGAAATCTATGTTTATGCTCAAGTTCTAATCCTCCATTTAAGGGCATAACCAAACCCTAACACAACAAAGACCTGACCCTTTATCTGACCCTTTATCCTGCCCTCTCCGAGTGTTAAATCAATGACTGCCACATATGTACATTCAACCAATGAAGTGTGATTATTCTGAATGTGTGGTTTCATTCCTGCTTCCATTGAACTGAGCAGACCTGTGAGCCACATCAGAGGATAGGTTCACCTTATCTCAATACTCACATGCCCATGTGTACACAGAAATCAGTGTTGGTTGTTATTGTTTTCCTTCTGCATACTGGCCATGCAGGCAAATGAGCCAACACTTCTGTAAGCGCTGCAGACACTTTATTTCAAGATGAAGATGTATTGTTTTTACTATTTAAACACTGCTTTTACCATTTTAACTTGCACTCCACACATCTCAGGTGTCGGGGCTCAGAGACTACTGAGCCCTACCTATGTACTGCATAGATGTTTGTGTGTATATATATATACAGTATATAGTGTGTTATTGTTTCACCTTGATCCCAGAGAAACACTTTCATTCTGCCTTGTCTGATAAACTTGAGTTGATCTTGAGAAGATCTCCTAAAGTGACTCCAAGTACAAGATGGAGGACAAAGTCACTCTGTAAAAAACATCACGCTGAAGTTCTGACCACAAATCTTTAATGTATCAAAGATGTTTACCAAGAGGCTAACTCAGAATTAGTTATATATACTGTATATATATTATAGTATTTGATATGCAAACAAAAATACCACTCCAGAAAGACTGAATCTTAGAACTAAGTAGTTTGCTACCAATAGTCTGCCGTCCACTTCATCATTAAATTACATTCCTCGGGGTCACTTGTGTGTACTGTATATAAGAGGTTATTTGATGTATGTATGTTTGGATACCTCTTTTTTAATAAATAAAGAATGCATTTACTAACAGAAAGCTCAATGTGAAATGATGCGTGTGTGTTTGGATGGATGGATGCAGGCTTCACGCTGGCCAGTGTGTTGAGGAACCAGACTGTTTTCCAGCAGTTCCTGGTCACAAACCTTTCCCTGTCCAACTCCACAAGCAGCCTGCTGCTCAACACTCCAGTCAGCCTCAGGGAGGTGAGTCACGTATACTATACTAACACATTCATAGTCACTGTGATGTTTATAAAGAACACTGAATCCACATGAGTCCAACCCAAGATATTACTGTAACAGCCAAGAGGAGAACAGTCAGTCAAATACACTCTCGTTGACTCTTCTGAAGCACATCCGTACATAATCATATTTTTTACAGGTCCAGATATACCTTCCCTTTATCCATACATAGACAGATCTGTAGGTTATAGGTCATAACTGCAAGTGGCCCCTTGGATAACAGAGGAGCTGGAGCCAATTCCAGCTGACGTTGGGCGAAGGCAGGCGATAACATAAAAGAAAAACCAAACAACCCTCCAAAATCCCCTTGACTAACACTAACTTCATCCCCAGTCTTCCTTCTCCAAGCAGTCTTCAACACACTACCAAGAAAAAACGAATAAAAGACGCACACAAACGAGCACCACCGCTCTGCCGACCAGGGGATTGTGCTCTTACACCAGCCTTTTATTCTGATAATGACAGAAAGAGACAGAATCAAGACGAATGAGTGATTCTCAGCAGCATCTAGCATTCTTGTTGTTATACTCATGTCTATATCGTGTGTGTGTGTGTGTGTGTGTGTGTGTGTGTGTGTGTGTGTGTGTG